CTCTCACCTGCCCCTAGGATGGAAGATCCTGGAGCCATCTCCTTTGCATACATGGGGAAAATGAGACCCACAGAAACAGCCAATGGAGCCACACAGACACAGCAGGGGAGGGCAGAGAACTGTGCCAGGCGGCCTGCTCATTCCTAGATATGAATGAGCCTGCCATGGACCCAAGGCCTGTCCACAGAAAGCTCAGCCAGTTCCTCCAATGGTTTCCCCATTGGCTTTCAGGGTAATGCAAACTCATTAGCCTGGCATTCAAGGCTCTTAATAAACTGACCCCATTTCAACCCTACACACACCAGTGAAGCCAAACCGGTGTCCTGATCCCCACCTCTCACGCTGCAGCTGGTCACACCCCCAGAAACACCTTCATTCCTCCTTCCCCTATGCAACTCATAATTCCGCTAATAGCCACCATTACCATTTACTGACCACCTACTGTGTGCTAGGCACTGACTCCTTGTGGGTAAAACTGCCACTACACATCTCATGTGATGATAGCAATGCCCCGTGCCTTAGAAATATGAAGTCATGGAAAAAATGCCTAAAACCCCAAAACATTGAAGAAAAGGCTATGTTTTCTTGCTGTAATAAAATATTTGAAGTTCTTTAAAAAATATATTTTTCTGGTATTTGTTTTTCCTTCTGTGCATTCATTTCTGTGAGTGCAGCTCTGTGCTTTTCATAGCAGCTCCCAACCATCATGCCTGATCTGCACAATCACTCCCAGGTGGGCAGGCAAACGGGGCTTGTCACCCCTGTTCTGTGGAGAAGGAAATGGGACACAGAGAGGGCAAGTGACTTGTTCAAAGTCACACAGGCCAGACCTGGATTCCTGACAACTCTCAGCCCATCTCCTCTTAGTCCCCAACAAATACCCACGAAGAGCTGGGCACAGCCCTGGGTATTTGCCTACGTTAGTCTTCTTAACCCTTGAAACAACCCCATCAGGTGCATGAAGTGGGGGATCCCCACTTTACAGATAAAGAAACAGAGGCCCAGAGAGATGGAGTAACTTGCCCCAAGTTGCGCAGCTAGTCAGGGGCAAAGTCAGAATTTGAACTCAGGTCTTCTTCCAAAAGGGGGCCCAAGGGAGGGTGGCCCCACACTGTCAGAGGTATTTACTGAGTGGGCAGATTGCTTCACCTCTTCGAGTTTTCCCTCCTCATCTGAGATGTGACCACAGTGCAACCACACTGGGCTGTGGTGGGGACCCAAGAATGCCACACCCAGCTCGTCTGTGTCCCTGGGACACACATTACATGCTCAATAATCACTTAGCAAGTGTGCAAATGAGGTCCCCGCCATTGTGCCAGCACATAGCATGAGCATCATAGGTTTGGCTCCTTTCTTCCAATTGGGAAGGCTGGAGCTCAGTAAGACACTCCTGTCTGGTATGTCTCCCCACCAGCACCCCTCTGCTTCTCCCTTTCTGCTTTCTGAGTCACATCCTGCAAACACTAGTCTTCAGCCCTAAAAATAGAGCAGATCTGGGGGCATAAAAATGCCCACAGATGTAAACTACAGCTGCAGCCCCTTGCTCTTAGGTCCCCCTCTGTTGACCCCAGGGTGGCCGCTCCAGGAAATCCCAGACTGGCAACCCCTGCTTGACCTAGTGTGGACCTAGAGTTTTCAGTCCGCTGGAAGTCCTTAGCCAACGGCCCCCTCTGCCCCATGCTGCCCAGCAGACCCAAACTTCCTTTCCTCATTGGCACAGAGCTGCCACCTCCCACCTCACACTCCCTAGGCAGGCTGAGCTGCCTCCCAGAGCTAGATATGGGCCCAGAGAGGGGAATAATTTGCCTGGGCCACACAGCCAGCAAGAGGCAGGGCCAGGCCTGGACTCGAAACCAATGCTCTAGCAAGCCTAGTGTCCAGGTGAGAATGTCAAAGCCCAGAGCCCCCCGCTGTCCCCCTCCTAGCATCAGTCTCCCCTGCAGACTTATCTGAGCCCACAGAAGCACCTTCACAGCGATGCCAGAGGTCCAGCCAGAGGGTCAGGGCCCAGCCTGCAGAGGTTCTGCCAGACAAGGAGGTAAACGGAGAAGAACTCCAGGTTTGCCTTCCCTTCACACCAGCAGGAGGGCAAGCAGAAACTAGGACTTGGAAAGACCCCCTGGCAAAAGTGGCAAAGGAAACGGGAACCCCAGGGCTGCCTGAGCTTGAGCTGGGGGTGTCCTGTCTTGGGAGTGGCACTGTCAGGGGCATCAGAGAGGGAGCCCAGGGAAGAGGCTCCTCTGGCAACCTGGCAGGTGTGTGGCAGGGGTGGGGTGGGGGGAGGAGAGAGGAAGGTCCGTTGAGGGGAAAACACTAGGCAGTTTTCCAGTATTCTTACCCAAGCTGGGTTCATGTGAGGCAGAAAAGAAGGAAAGTGAGGTGTTGTTGGGGGTGGTCAGAAGGGACTCTGCCACCTCCTCCCGGGGTGATGAGTTCACGTCCCACACGTGGGAAGCAGATGTAATGCACGCATGCGTGTACCCATGGTGGCCTGGGTGTGGGTGGGTGCATGTGAATATCTGCCAAGTTCATTGTTAAGGGCATGGGGCTTTTTTGTGCTCTTTCCTGCTTGTGTATGTATCAGGTGTGTGCCCTGGAGGAGATAATGGAAGCAGATATCAGCCAGACAAGGGCTTCAGAGGAAGCTCTTCTTGCTGACGACCACCTCCAATCTGTGCGTACACATCTGAATGGTATGTCTCGAGGTTTGCAGTTATCACTCAAGAGTCAGAGGCGGTGGCCTTAGCCTGGGTGTGCCTAGGGTTCCTGTGTCTGGGTCTTCGGGTATTTTTCAGTCAAACCATGTTTGCGTCTGTGTCTGGCTGTGTGAGGGTCTCAGTGTTTGTGCAGCATCTGTGGCTGCTTAGCAGCCTCTGACAGCCAGGACAAAGGCCTCCGTAGACAGACAGGTGGCATGGAAGACAGACCTGCCCCAGGAATCCTCCAAGGGCCTCTTGGCTCAGAATGCAACAGCCAGGCAGGGGGCAGGGCCAGGTGAGAGGGAGGTAGAGAGCAGACTTCCTGACCCTAGGCCTGTGCAGATCCTGCTGGTCGGCAGAGGCCCAAGCAGGAGACCCCCAAGCCAAAAGGAGACCCTCTGCATTTCAAGAGGTTGAAGGAAGAATCCTTGTCTCCTGGGGGTGGTGGGTGGGTAGAACCAGGAGAAGGACCCCCTGAAACCCCTGCCAGGCAGACATCCTGGGGGCAGAGAGGGCTTTGCTCAAGGAAGCAAAGAAGGTTGTGAGCTAAGAAGGTCCCAGGGTGGAAACACCATCATGGCTGTGGGGAGGGGGTGGCAAAGCAGGCATGGGACTCCCAGAGGGGGAGAAGGTCTGAGGCCTAGACCCTGAGGAAAGGTGGAGGGGTTCTCCATTCAGATGCACCCCCACCCCCAGGCAGGACAGGGGAGCAGGTCCACTGTGGATTACTCCACCCCGTCACTGACCCTTCCTCCACTCCACTGCTGTGGAGATCCACCTGGATCAGGAGTCAGAGAAACAACGCTACCGCAGGCAGAAGGCAACTCTGTGACCTTAGGCCATTTATTTAGTGTCTCTGAGCCTCAGTTTCCTCATCTGTGCAATGGAGTCGGCCCCTGCCTTGAAACATTGCTGTGAATGCGGAAGGTGCTCACAGTCACTTAAGGATTAATCATTACCCTGGAATTCTTTCCAAGGCCATTAGGCGCCCCTCCCTTTCTACCATACCCTCCAACTGCCAGGGGGGCTCAGAGCAAAGCTAAGGTTCAGATAGAGGAGTGTGTGTGTGGGGGGGTCCCTGTGGCCAGCTGGGCATGGCCACCACCTCCCCACTCAGCTGCTGCCTTCAGCGGCTGTGCCAGGCCTAGACGCCCTTGCAGGGGCACCTTTGATTGATGTGCCTTCTCACTGGCTAGGAAACTCAGGGCTGCCCTCCGTCCCCAGTTTCTTCCCTCTATCACCCTGGGGAAGGAGGGACCACTGTCCTGTGGCAGAGTGGGCTAGGAGCCTGGGACCCAGCTCCCTGCTGGGAGGAAATGCTCCCCCTTACTTCACTTCCCCTCTGCCTTTCTCTCCTACTCTGTCCTGACCCAGCTCCTCTCAGTGCCCCTGCTGGCCTCTGACTTTGCTGAGGGGGGGACTGAAGCACAGGGACAGATGCCAATGTGCCATGTGTGAGGGGCGGGGTGTCCTCCTTCATTCCACCCCCAGGCCTGAGGTATGACCCTAAGGGCTCGGCGGGGTCACACGCAGGTCGGGATCTAAAGACTGTGGAGGGAGGACGCTCATGTCCTGAGCTAGTGTGTGCGTGTGCGTGCACACACAAGATATCGTCCCCAACCCCAGGCGCCCCACAACTGGCACCCGAGCGCCTGTGGGGCGCGAGAACCACCCTGTGGATTCCCACCGAGTCCTCAGATCCTGCGGAGCCAGGGGAAGCGACGAGGGGGCGCCTGACTTCGTGATGCGTGTTCCCTGCTCCGCTGCGGGTCAGGGCCAGGAAGCGAGAGAGACGTGCTCTGTCCCTGAGGAAGCAAGGACATCGCTGCCCTCTCGGCTCTGGGTCTGGGTTGGACCTGAGGACCCCCACTTCCCTCCTCTGAGGACCGGAGCGCCTCCTCCTGGGGGGGGGTTGTTAAGGCCCCTCCCCAGGGATAGAGGGAACGCGCCCACTTCTCCACGTTCCCTGCTCTGAACCCAAGGCGCCGCTCCTCAGGCAGAGCAGAAGGCGGGACCCCCACCCAGGCCGTGGGGTGGGACCCGAGACCCCTCAGCTGCGGCCAGGTCCCACCCCCGTAGGCGGGGGGCTCGGCTGGTTCAGCCCAGGCCTGGCCCCTCACTCCCCGCCTACAGCTGCGGATCAAGCCCAGTCTGCGCCCCTCTCAGCCAACCCTCGCGACCCGGGTCCCCGCCCGTTCACCCCACCGCCCGCGCCGGGTCTTGGCTGCCGGCCAAGGGGAGCTCCGGGCACCTCCATGCCTTCCCTTTCCCAGGACCGCACCCCTGAAGGGGCGGACTCACCCGCGGGCCTGGGCTGGGGGCGTCCTGGGCTTGGCAGTCCGGTGCCCTCGGCAGCCGCTGCAGCTCTGCTCAGACGCGGCTCTGCGTTCGCCGCCGCCGCCGCCGCAGTTCGGGGAGGGGGGCGTCACGTGACCGCCGAGCACTCCCTCCCGGCGCCGCTCCCCCGTCACTGCGGAGCTCAAACCGCGGGCGCGGAAGCGGCGGAGGCCCCCACCCTGCCGCTCGCCGCTCCTCACAACAGGTCCCAGGGGCGGCCGTTCTGTGCCCCCGTCTTACAGGTGGGGAAACAGAGCCAAAGAGGACAAGGTCTGGCTCAAGGTTACACGGCTAGATTGTGGCAGGGCCCTGGCGAGAACCCAGCGATCCAGCCCATGCTCCAAGGGGACAGGGACAAGTTCTGGAGCAAATGGGGGACACGCCCTAGGCCCCCATGGGCTCCGCGTGCCTGCGGGTGGGGAGAGAGCGAAAGGAGCGCGGCGTTAGCCGGGCACGGAGGCCGTGCCCCGGCAGCACGACCGCCGCTCAGGGGCGCCGGCTGCGCGTCCTGCAGAGGACCCGCCGCCGTCACACTCCCCAGCGGGTTAGCAGCTGTGGCACAGCCTTCCCAGACCGAGCAGCTCGCTCCCCACTTCCGACCTGACCGGGGAAAAGGGGGGTGGGGAGAGGCCAGCCTCCAGCCATGGTCTAAAGAAGTCGAGGGAAGGCAGAAGTTGGCACAGGACAAGTGTTGAAAACCAGGGCAGGAACGGGTCGCAGCGATCACCGTCGTCTGACCTCTGAGGCCCAACGTGGGCAGGCTTGAGCAGCAGGAACAGCGCTGCTGACACTTGTGGCTCCTGGGCCCCACTCCCCACTTAGGGGAACCCTGCTGTTGTCACACACCTTACTCTGTTCTCCACTGGGATCCCCTCCAAGGGCAGCCCTAGGTGAATGGAGGCACAGGCAGTGTATCTACAAGGTCAGAGCTGTGGGTGCAATGGGTGAGGGTATGCTTGGTGGCCTCAAGATCATGCCCAGTCACACAGAACATTGTTAGAGGGGATCCTTGAGACCTCGGGATCTCACCCCTTTAACTCTAGTAACTGGGGAAACTAAAGCCAAAAAGGGGTAGAGACAAACCTCCATTTCATCAACCATTTCTAATTAGTGGGTCAAGGTGACAGGTCCCTCTGAGGTCAGCCGGTCCACAAGGCCCACTGCACAGATAGGACTTAGAGGGGACTCAAGTCTTGTATTCATTTATTCAACTAATTCATTGAGCACCTGCTGTGTGCTTAACAAGTGACTGTGGGTTCCACCTCCCCCTCTTATTGTCCCAGCCACAGGGACAGCATCTCATTAAGGAAAAGATCTGGGGCCTTCGGAACCCTTACATCAGCCTCTGGAAGATCTGAGACGTGCAGGCCCCTGAGTGTTCAGTCCCGTGGGGGCTGGGACCATGGCCATGTGTCCCCGCCAAGAATCTCACCCCAAGCAAGAGATTAGAATTAAGGGGGACTTAGCAGGACATGCCTCATCCTCATTCCATGCCCTGCTTATGTGAAAAGGCAGAGGGGAAACAGGATAGGGCACTGCTTCTATACAGTCCTTCTCTGTCCCTCCTGCAAGCTCCCCCCAGCCATGGGTGGGAAAGGGGTCCCAGTGCAGGGCTTCTCAAACTTCTAAGAGCACGAGTGGCCTGATCCCAACGCAGGTCCCGATTTAGTGAGTCTGAGCTCCTGGATGTCTAACAAAGCTTCACTGTGTTGCTGGTGCTATGGGGCCACAGACAACATGTTGAGTAGGGCTGGTAAAGCAAGGTTCAGGGCAGGGAGATGACAACCGCTGGGGCTCTGAGGACAGACTCCTAGAGCATCACCTGCTTACTCTGGGCCCACTCCACCCCTGGGGGCCCTTGGATTTCCTGTTTAGCAACAGGCCTTGGCCTGGAGCCTTCTCGGGACACATCAGGGCTACAGTTAGTATAAAGTGGCAGTGAGGGAAGAAGTTGGGCCGGGTGGATCCTTGAATTGAATTCTGATCACAATCCCAGTGCTTCTTCCTGCTTCTCCAACTACTTCCCCCGAAAGAGTCCTCTTCCCCCTCCGTGCTGTGTGTGCTGTGTGACAAAGAGACCGTGGGCTCCCAATTCTGGCCAGGAGGGCACTGCTGATGGCACGATTTCAGAGGGCGAGCGGAGACAAAGGTGATGTGCCAATGCACTCAGTGAGGAGCTGCAGCTGTGACCTTTCGTGGTTTGATGGGCAGACTCCAAGGTTCCCAAGGGTCTCAGGTCCTATTGGCACTGGGGACTAAATGTGCCTGACCCTGGCTGAGTAGGCCAAAGAACCAAGAAAGCTCTTCTGTGCCAGGCCTCTCGATTTCTTCTTTATAATCAAGGAGCTTTTCAATTACAGCATTTTCCTCTTGACAGAAAACCTCAGTGCAAGAGCCTTATAATCTCTAGCATGTCCTGGGGGGGGGGGGGGGCACCATTCTGAGACTGTCAAGGCCCCTGGGGAGAAGGCAATGCGTGTTGTGCCGTAGGGGGCTGGGCACAGAGCCTGGGTACTGAAGGGAAGGTTGGACAAAGGCTGCAGCTTTGCTTTCCCTGCCCTATTTCAATCCAAACCACTCAGGGATGACCACTCACGCATGGCTGCCTCTGGGCACAAGCCTTTTCTTTTGCAAACACTTAATACGCTGCGACCTAGCCACTACCCCGGCCTTCCCAACGGCTGAAAAATGAAAGCTGGCTTCAAAAAAAACCTGACATCTAAGAAGGCTGGAGAATGATGAACATGTGGGTGGCACAACAGTAAACTTGGAATGATGCCTCTTGGAAATAAATCTCCGCTGTCCACCCCTCCCTACTGGATTAAAGGGGAGAAAGATGGGGGTGGAGAGACGTCCAGCAGGAAAAGCAGGGGGAGAAAACCCAAAAGCAGTGGGTAAGCAAGGTGCTGTCTGCCAAGCAGCGAATAAGGTCTAGGAGGCCATGATGAAGAAGGGAGGGTAGGCTGTAAAGGTGGTTGGGAGACAGTGCACTCCAGCGAGCGTAAGCCAGGATGAGGAGTGGGAGTCAGCGCCAGGGTACGTCCCTCAGGGAAGGACCTGAGGCTTCCGTGTCTGGGTTGGAGGCTTCCACGCTGATGCTGGACACGACAGAGGACACAACCCTGGGGAACCCACTCTTGGGTTACAGAAGTCTTTGGATCACGAATGTGAACACAGCTAAAAATCCCCATTTTGAGGACAAAGAGACAAGCCCAAAGGTGGGGATGGCTCTGGTCATACCAAAATAACTGAAAGCTCCCCGCCAAGGGTCTTGCTGTCACAGGAGGAGAGCTTCCAGTGGAACCGGAAGTGTTCATTCATTTTTCCTGCCGAGGACACACATGGCATGCTGTGGGATGTGGTGCTGGATAAGACGGCGAGAGCTCCTGCCTGCAGGGAACTTGAACAGTCTGATACTAATCAGGTTGACTCATTTCTGGGGTCGCAGTGGTTTTAGGTGCAGACCTAAGATCCAGCCCAGCCCTAACTCTGGCTCCCAGTAAGACAAAAATAAACAATTCTCTCTTGTTCCAGAATTCTAGACAGTCTAGCACAGCTTGGAGCCTCTTTCATCCAGGGAACTAGTGCATGCTACAAATGGAAGGGATGCAGCAAAAAAAAAAAACACGCCAGACATAAACCAACCACAAAGGCGACTCACAGACTGATACGAGAAAAGTCCTCAGAAGCGGTCCAGCTGGGCGAGTTTCCAAGTGCAGTCCCGGGAGCTCCATCGGGGGAGTGGGTGGGTGTGGAGGTGGAGCTGAAGAGAGGAAGCCCCACTGTCTCCTTCCACCTAGTTCATGTTTGACAACTTCTACACCATCTACTTCCTTGTTAGAGAACACTGAGGCCCAAAGGGAGACACCCTTGTCTAGGATCCTAAAGAGCTGGTAGCAGTTTAGCGTTCCCTCGGTTACAAATACAAATACAGCAGAGAACAAGGGAGTGGGGGGGGGGGGGCAAGTGCAGAGGTCAATGTGACAGCAGGCAAAGATTCAGCTCAGGCAGCGGTTGCCTAGGCCTTCTGTCTTCCCTGGGGTGTGTCCCCCACTTCCTGTGGCCCAGGGCCGGCCTTGCTTGGCAGAGCTAACACAGAGCTGGAATTCAAGCTCCATTCCAGCTGCTGTTACAGGGCTGGCTCCCTTCCTGACCGAGAGCAATTTCACTTCAAAGGGCCTGGCCTCCGCAGTCTTAGCCAAGTCCTTGAAAGCAGGGTGCTTTTTTCCATTTTTTTCTTCAAGCACGTTGGGGGAAAACAGATAATGCCCTCTATCTGAAATCAATACAGTAATTATGTCAGACAAGGTCTTAGGACTAACTTCACGGGGAACTCAGCCTCGTGAATGAGAAAGTGTGAAAACAGTGTAGGAGCCAACATGTCACTGTGCTTGTGGGATGGGAGCCATCTGGCAGGAGGACCCATTTCTTCGGGGATCACGGTCTGTCCTCTGCTGGGTGGGTCACACAAAGGCTCGGTCCAGGAATGAGCTGGTGCAGGTCCCGGTTCTGGGAGCAGACCAGAGCCACGCAGAAGAGGTCATGCATACAACTCCTTGGCAAGTCACAAGGTGCATTCTACAGCCTCCTTCTTCCCAAAATCTAGTGAGGCTCAGAAAAGATACTTCAATCTCACCATATGAAGAAATGGCACCAACTTGTCTGAAACATGCAATTTTTTTAAAAAAAGCGATGAATGTGATATGGTTCACAGTATGCTGAATTGTGATAAAACTGACCCTGTGGTTTGTCAGTTGGAAAAGAGAAAGCACAAGACATACCTGTTCTGTGTACTCTTCTCTTGAACAATGTTCTTCACTAAGTCTCCAGGGGTAAATAAAAGAATGAAAAGCATGATTCTCAGATGGAAGCAGCCTGTAAGTACCGGCCAGTCTCCTGCATACTTTGTGCTGCCAGGTGCCTGCATAGCCCTGCCTCTGAGGCTCCCGGCATCTGTTCCTGATGTTCTTGGCAATGACAGTCAAAACATGGGAAACTGCCCCTTTGGGGCAGGACCTGCCCATCACAAAGACCCAAGTCTTCAGCATGCATTCTAAACATGTTTCAAATACCTTTCAGCAGGATCCTGCAAATAAACACGGAATCAAGGCAACTTAGTGATTGGCCTCTGGCTTCGTTTTCCTCATGGGCCAAGAGGGAAGACTTACGTAACAGGTCAGTCGAACACCCTTCCAATCATCATTTTAGCGCCAAGGACTTCCGGCCTCAGGTCTGTTCTCAAGTTCTCAGAGAAGGGGTTCCGGGTAGCTTGCTTTGTGGTTCCAAGACCTCTTTTTCAAGACTTGCAAAAAAGATTCCACAGCACTTCCTCACAAAGGCTAGAATCTTTCTCATTACAAAGAGGAACACAAAGCATTTTACCCCAACAATATTATTGCCTCAGTGTGGGGTGGGAAACATGACAGCAAAATACTGCCTTGTTCTACAAGATCAGCAAACTAAGACAAAGCAAAGTCGCTTGTCATAGTTACAAGGTAAATGGGGAAATTATCTGGAACACAAGTGAGCCAACTTCTCAAACCTGCCCTTTCAACGCTCGCCAACACACTTAGCCCAATTAACGCAACAGCCAGACTTGAAAAAAGCACAAAGGTTTGGGATGCCTGAGGAAGCTGTTTCCCGTCTTCCTACTACCCTTTCCCTGGCACACAGGACTTGGCACAAAGCTGTTCGCTCAGAGAAATACATGTCTAGTGGTACCATTTTACAAATGTTTCTCATTTGCATTTTAATGAATCAAGGATTCCAATGTTGACAATCAAATCCCCAGCTCATGTTGGTGTCCACACAATGTCTAGGGCTTGGAGGTGATGAACTCCTAGCCTTCACAATCAGAAATGCAGCTGGTAACAAAACTCTCCACCTTGGGGGGCGTGGGGGAGTAAGAGGTGCACAGGACAGTGGAAAAGGGGTGCGAATCTTCTTCAAATGAAAACATTGGCTTTTCATCGGACTGAACTCTGTTCCCAGTCCCCTGTAGCACCGAACAAGCTGAACATTAAAATGCCAAAGAGAAAGGATATGATACTCCTTCATGACTCTGTAACAGGAAAGACAGGCTTTAATGCTCATTTCACTCCAGCAGTTTGTTTAGACAGCGATAAATCATCCCTTGGGCATTTAAAACAGGTTATTCAATACCAGCATTGGCTTCAAATATTAACCAGCATCTGATCGAGTCCATGACCACACAGACTAACCAACTGGACATTTAAAGTAACAAAAAATCCACTCTGGATTATGACTCCATAGAAATAAAGAGACACTTTGTTTCTTTTTAATTTGGCAGAAAGATTAACAGTAATTCTAAACAACATTCATTAATACACAGAAAGATACTTATTCCCCCAGATACTTCATCCCCAATGAAGATGTCCAAATGAAAACCTGTATTTCAGGCAGTGGCAACAATCTGTGCCAGCATACGTTGTACACGTTAGTATGAGATTAAAGAATGGTTAAAAACATAAGGGGGAACCTTCAAGCTTTGTAATACCTTCTACAGAAGACTGGCCTAATATAAAAGAGTACACGTGCATGACATAAAAAACCCGATGGAAAGAGTCTCTGCACTTCAATGTGGTCACAGCCTATCGGTCTCCACCCGTTTGTAAATACAGACAAGGCGAGAATCGGGTTCAGGTTACACCTTATACCTGTACAAAGTGGTGAGGGTGGCAATGCAAGGCCACTACATATTGTGGGTGGAAAGAGACTGCAGCCCAAGGCCCCTCCACTTCAAAGAGCAGAGGAGAGCAGCCTGTGGGTGCACGTGCCGACTCAGTGGGTCTGGGGCCCGAGCTCCTGCGCCTGATCAAGCCTCGCAGTGCCGCTGGTGCTATGGCGCCACAGTGGCCACCCTGAGGAGCGCTAGCAGGACAAGTTGCCAAGGCAGGAGGAAGACGACGGCTGGGGCTCTGAGGACAGACTCGTGGAGGATCACCTGCTCACCCTAAGCCCACCCCACTCCCACCCCCAGGAGTAAAGGAGCCAGTACTGAGACTGGGTTATTGGCCTGGAAGACTTACAAAAGGCTGTTATTGTGTGATGTTGCATAAGAAAAAAAAAAAGACTCAAAAGTAACAAATTTTAAAACTGTTATTAACAGCAAATCGGGAGAAATGTATCCGATTTCTGGGGGCTACTGACATGTTGATGACAAGCCCCAGGAAGACATCCTCTGGGCAAACAGTTGCTCCGTCGGCAAGGCTGTGTCCGCTGACACACAGGGCTTTACCCTGGGAACGGATTAAGTCGCTCAGCGTGTTATTACTTGTATGCTCCTGCTTCATTTCTTTGGAGCAAAATAAAACACTGAGATCTACACACCAGGATTAGCTATCCGTGATCTTGACTTTGAGTCCTTCCCCTGTGCCGACCTCAAGGTGGGAACAGCTGGTTCCTAGGATGGTTTTTGGGGGTCTTGGGGGCAGCTCTGTCTCCCACACAGGCTATTTAAACAACCCTGTATCCTCAGGGTGCACAGACTGAAGACATTGCAAACGCAGAGGGGAAACACAAGCAAGAAGTTATAATTTTACCAAACAGCCATAATTATTCTGATAAAAAGAGCTATTCAAAAGGGATGCTGGCAAGGTTACTGGTCCTCCGATTGAAACCTGCCTCCCCGTCCATTATTTGAGTTTAAATTTTCAGAAAAGGGGTGGGGGTGAGGGTTGGGGAGCCTAGCACAAACCCAAGGCTAAAAGCAAATGTTATCAAGAGACGCCTGAGTTGGCATCTCTGCCCCAAAGAAGTACATACATTCTCAGAGAAAACAGCGAAACAAATTCCAGTCTTAAATTCCATTTCAAAGTCCTTCAATGTTCTGAAGACTATTGCTTCAGTTATATGTTGCTAATAACAATAATAATCCTGAATTGAATAAAATGGCATACCTCGTCCATACACTTTTTTTCTTTTCTTTTTTAAACAAAGTGATGTGAAAGATCCTTTCTGGCCATTTCGGAAGAATGCGTTCAAGAAGAGAAGTGAGATGCAAGCACGGTGGACTTGGAAGATGGGAAAACATTTTAGAAAAGCCTTGGGCTGGTCACATGTACTTCAGTCCACTTGCCTCTTCTGATGAGGTGGTCGGATTGTTCAAAAGTGCAAGATGTATTTGATTCCCCACTTCTGAATAATAGAAATACTGGAGGAAGATGCTAGCACGAGTCATACACATTCACCATCCTTTCCGAAATGCTTGAAGGCAAAAGCCTTGGAAGCCCCAAGTGAGACCGAGTCCCTCGCTCCCGGCAGGAGACGCGCAGGCGCCCCCTCCTGTACCCAACACTAAGAGACAGACTGCCATGGGGGGCGTGAGGCAGGGGTGCTGCGGCCGACGCGGAGAGGAGTCTAATCCTCCTGAAGACACTTTTCCACAATGATGGCAAGTTCTTCACTTTCATGCTTTATTGAAAGTAAAATATGAATCAAAGACAGGTACTGGTAAGCAGGTTATGTCTCTAAAGAATTACTTTTAGTTCAGAGCAGAATGTTGTCCCATCTACTGTGATAAAAATCCCTCATGGACCGATGCATCTGGTATGAAACTCGAGCAAGGAAATATAACAGAATTATTCCCTCCCGTGACTATAAATCTCATATGTAAACATGATTTCCTGTTACTGCTACTAAACTGGTTCAATCTTTATTTGCCCTTTCCCTCCCGCCACCCCCCACCCCTTAAATATAAAATTTGAAACATTTCCTTCAAGTCTGATGTCCTTCAGTGCAATCTGCTTTATTTGACATAAGGCATTTGGGACAGTCACTTTTGAATGATTTTCTGCCTTCTGGAAGAGTCATGATTTAATTCTTAGATCCAGCTTTTCTTTAATGCCCTAACATGTCAAACTCCTCCTCCCTTCTGGTCATTTCTGAGTAGAGTCCGCAAGTGTTCAAAAGATTAATGTCCAAGTAGACCAGTACCTGGGAAAAGAAACACACGTGGAGGTACAGTTGTGAGCCAAGAGTTCATGCACTCCATGTGTCAAGAACGCATCCTCAACAGGGGATATCCAACTTAATAAATGGGCACAGCAGCCCTCTGACGTTGAAGGGTAAGAGAAAATGTCAGCCAACTTGAGGCTTTCAGCTAAATCACATCTCTGTTGAAAGCCATGGGTTTCCTACGTGCTGTCTTCACACGAGTTAATCGGATTTTATTGGTGCTTTCATTGGATAGCCATTTTTTCATAAAGAAATGTTTTGCTCTGTTTTGTTTGGCTTTAGCCACATCAGGAGTTTCTTTGTAGTGGTAACGTGTAGACAACAAAGCCGCATTGAGAAGAAGGCTTTATTTGGGCCAGTAGCTTTGCTCGCTTATTTGCTTTAGCAAAGAAGCCCTGATATTTGATTCAAACTCATTCCTGGGCAAAATCACAACCCGCCATGGCCCCTCTGGAGAAGACCCCAAAGGATCAAAATGGCAACGGTTACAGCTGGAAATGTCAAAGGTCCGTATCTGATGGAGTAATGAGTATTACTGGTGTACACAACTACAGTAGCCAAGATGTGGTACAAGGCACCGCCGTGTCTCCATCTAAAGTAATAATCCAAGTAATGCCTTAATGCTAGATAGGTTAATGAAACCTTTTCACTGAACCTCGGATAATTCAGCAAATTCTTCTACTCTAATTCTTATCAGTTGCACACAAACTGTTTTTGCTCTAAGATGGGACTGACAGGATGAACTGGAAAAAGGTTAAATATATATCTCGAAATGCCCTTGGCTAATTCCTTAGCCTCCCACCCGAAATAAGAGAAAGCAGAGTGGACATCTGGCAGGAGATGCTTCTAACACGCAGGCCCTATCTGAGGCCTGAGTGCTGAAAAAGATAATGAAGAAGCTTGAATAAAAAATGCATTTAACTAAAATTAATTTCAGTCATGAGACTCAGATTGAATTAAATTTTAAAATCAAATTATAGCCTTCACTTTAATAGAAAATTATAGTATGACTGACATTCATGAACAGAACATGACAAATGCAACTTACCTTTAAACCCTTCTTCTGGCATACACACTGGAAGGAGAAAACAAAAAAAGAAACAAAAAAAGAATTCCAGATTGAAAAGGCTGTCGTGACAGAGTAATAAGATCACCTCGATGCCTAAAGATGAGAAGTTTAAAATAACTTTCAATTACCTTACTCACCCATAACGATTACTTCTGTAGTTATGGAATAATAATCAGATGACATTCTTTCTGTTTTCATTTTTATCCAAGTAATATACATGCATCATTAAAAAAGTCAAGTAGTGGTAAATGAGGGCTGTAATAACTGAAGCCAACGTTCTGCATGACCCCAGGGCAGGCCTAGGAGAAGCGGGCGACTGACGCCCTCTGGAGCTGTGTCTCTGCCCTTCCCCCTCCCATTCCCATACTCTGGAAGGAACCACCTTGTGACCCGTTTAGCCATTTCTTCTGCTATTCAACCTCTTTATTTCTAAATAACACGCTTTATGCTGATATTTCATAATTGTAGAGAATATCTAATAACTTTCTCAATGAAAGATAAAAATTTATTTCTTCTAGCACCTCTTATGTATCAGCTGCCCCCTCAGCCATCCTCCCGATACAGTGGTTCTCAAAGACCTGTATCCCTTCCCCTTTTCCCCGTGGACGTTCTTTGCCAAAGCCTGCATCCTCAGGGATGACGTCACAGAAATGGCAGCGTGAGGTGAGCCTCTTGGAATTTACAACCAACTGAGCAGCTGTAACTCCACAAAGCCCGCGTCCCACCGCTCCAGCCTGGACCCGTGAGCTGCATGCCTGCTGCAGGGCTTCTGTTCAGCTCTGGAATTTCCCTTCACCTTCTTCTAGGGCATCTTTTCCGAAGTCAGACCCCTGCTTTCTGGTGCCACTGTTGACTTCTTTCTTGATTTACTCTCTTGTTTAAGAGCACATCCTTCTGCAGTATCTTGGCAAACGGTGCATAAGATAAATTTTTTGAGGCTTTCTGTGTGTTCCAAGAGCCTTCAACTGTGAGGGCAGAATACAGTCTGTCTAGTTCCCGAATTCTAGATTAAGATTTGCTTGTCCTCAGCATCTTTGGGTGCCTCTCCATTCGTCTGTGTTTCTGACTTCATCCTATGACTGTGTTTGGTTTTCCTTCCATCTTTAGATGCTTTGAGGATCCTGTCATCCCTAGGGTTTCACTTCCTGTACTGAGCGCTTGGTGCAATCGTGGTAGTTTTCTAACCAAATTTCCTCTTTTTAGGCTCATCCCTCACTCCCACTTTCAGGGGTACCTGGGGCCTCCAATTTATGTGTGTCTGTCCGAGGCTCTGCAATCTGCATTACTTGGCTTCTGGTTGACCTCTTTCATCTGCAGGAGTACACTTATTTCTGTTTCTTCAGATCAGCTAAATAATTACTACTCCTCTCTGCTTTCCATTTTCCAAAGTTTTTTTTTTTGTTGTTAGTTTCGGTGTACAGAACAATGCAATAGTTATCCTTTTCACCCTCACAAAGTAACAACTCCCCTCCCCCCATGTACTGCCCTCCCACCCCCGATATCATGCTTATCTATTACAATTCCATTGATTCCATTCCCATTCTCTACTCCATGTCCCGTGACTATATGTATATATAATTATAGTTGACATACAATATTATTCAACATTTTCCAAAGTTTTTTGTAGACACCTTTCTCTGTCTATGATCTTATAAGTAAGGTAGAAACATTTAAGGTTAAAAGAGCTGAAACTTTTAAGGTTAAAAGTATTGTAGACGAAAGCTTCAATATCTATAACTCTACCTCCTTCTAACAAGTTAATCAATAAATTCCTAAAATAAATTTGTCTTTACCTTGCATGACATCATCCATTGCAGCATAATCTGCAATTGGTTCATCAGCCTAGAAAACAAATGAAGACAATTCAAAACCACAAGGGAGAGGGAGTCAGGGGGAGCAGTAGACTGGGTCCTCCCCACACTGGAGTCTGGCCATGAGTCGAATACTGGATTTGCTACAAGACACAAATACAAACACTGACCAGCTGCGAACCGGGTTCAAACCACAGCCAGCGACGTCTGGGATTAACAAAGAAAACTCTGCCAGCGATGGGTCTATACTTGCCACCCAAAAAACTTGCACAGCATATGTGACATTGTTTTCCTGCTCCTAAAAACCCCTTTCGCTGTAGAAATGTTTAGACAGACTGAGATTATGAAACTCTGATTTAATTAATGTGAGTTAAAATGCTAGTGGTGACAGTGTGAGTTAGGTACAAATAAAAAGGCAGACCGGTCTTCTAAAAATACCAACTAGGGGCCAGCCGAGTGGCGCGATGGTTAACAACTGGCTTGGGACGCCAGAGGGCCCCAGTTCGGATCCCACATATGAGGACCAGTGACACTGCCCTCTACAGCTAAGATGCTGAACAACAGCTCAACCTGGAGCTGGGCTGCCATGAGTCACAGGCGACGGCGTAGGTTGCAGTCACTGCTGCAGTGGACTGCCACGGGCTACCGTGTGTAGCCAGCAGCCAGCGTGAGCGGCCAGCAGCCGCCATGAGCGGCCGTCCAGAAGCCGGCGACTGATGTGCCTTGCCCGGGAAGAGCGCAATGATGGTGCCAACTTGGGCCAGTGAAGCAACGTCCTCCACAACTAGACTGAAGAACAAAAGGACAACAACTTGTCTGTTCCCTTTCCCCCAATTCCCCAATAAAAAAAAAAAAAATCTTAAAAAAAAAAAAAAATACCAACTAGGTTAAAAATACATTTTTGTGGGCCCGCCGAATGGCTCAGTTGGTTAAGAGCCTGCTCAAGAGTGCGAGCTCTGAGCAACAGGGTCGCTGGTTCGATTCCCGGCTTGAGCTGAGCTGCCGCTGAGCTGCCAACAGGTGGCAGGATGGCTCCGCTAAAAAAAATTTAAAAAAATAAAATAAAACACATTTTTGTCCCTCCTCACCACCAAGAACAAAATACCCACATCCCTTTTAGGGCAGAAGCCAGCACCGAGTCCGCGCTCATGGTGCGATGAGCTGCAAGGGCAAACAGGCAAATGGCTGGTGTAGGGTCTAGCTGCCCATCTGAAGCAAAAGCCCTTTCATAACACAGGCCATTTCTATAATAGCATTTCAGACAGGGCCCTTAGGGTCCCACAACTCAACAGGTTTTCAAAGTAATTCCATAGAACCTACAGTTCCAAGAAAAGCAAAAAGTAAACAGGGGGAAGGGGGAGGGGTATGTGTGTGGGGTAGATACAGGTCTTCATCATTTCCAGGGACACGTTTTATCTTACCAGAACTGAGGCTCTAGGGTATGAAAAGCATTTATTTCACAGTTCAAAAGCCCAACAAATATTCCACCACATGATGCAATGGTGTGTGGCACAGTGGGGACGCTTCTGGCCACGAAGAAACAACAGAGGCAAAGGGAAGTGACGAACTTGGGCCCTCAGGTGGTGTAGGATCGGGCTAATGAGGCTGGTTCAATAATTCATTTTCTTAGACAACTTCTCAGCAACCCTACTTTTTATAAAACACCTTCCACCTCTCCTAAATCCATTCTATCCAAAGCCAGTTTCCATATCCTGGACAAGAATCCCATAAAGCCGACCAGAAGTGTTTTGACGGTTGAGGCCAAGCCTCGCGTCTGTTTCCTACGTTGACTGGCTGGTATGTACTTTCGAGCCAAGAGGAAATGAGGGGAATGCTTGAATAAAGGTACAGGAAAGTAATTCTGCTGATCCAGAAATTAGGGAGGATATATCTAGATCTATTATTTTTTTAATAAAAATGATGAAAATCCCACAAGACCCAATGATGTCGTGACCTCCTCTAAGTCTCTGTGGCTTAGCCAGAGCTGCAGAATCCAGGGGCCACCAAAAACGCATGGCAGTCGCTTACCACACCCTGATGAGGACTCGAGGCCATCATAACCGCTGCTGCACCATGCGGCTTACATGTGGGTGTGTATCATCATTAAAACCTTCTAGAATTCCTCAGGTAAGGCACCGTCACCTACCTTTAACAAAATGACAGATTCGGGAATGACGCCAAGGGTGCCGAGGGTGGCACAGTCATCATTTAAAATCTTTCCATCAATTGAGAGATTCTGGTCAAAAGGAGCAACTGAAAATGCATGCATGATCTGTGCCAATATAAAAAAAAAGAAAAAGTCTGTATGAAGCAAAATACTGAGACTCATACCCTATTTGAATAAATAATGCATACATTCTTTAAAAAATAAGTCAGAATACAAAAGATACTACAGTTTGCAGTCAGCCCCCTTGCTGCATTCCTACAGAGGCTAAAATCCCTGGAACATATCTGGAATAGGCCTAGGAGGTCTAGTGGAGAACTGGGAAACAATGATACCCACAGACCCTTGTGTCCCGCACCTTACCGCCTCTCCAAGGGCAGGATGTGGGGAAATCAAAGGGCAGAAGGTGGGGCTCGGCGGACAGTCCTCTGGTTACAAGCCTTCGCCTTCATGGTCATTCCTATCATGCCCAAGCCCCACAGACTTGATAATCAAACCAAGTCCAAATTCTTTTGGAAAACCACCTTTACATTAACCAGCAGGTGATCTGGGCTCTTCTTCTTTCGGTTTTGATTCCTTCAGCAAGCAGCCTAGGTTACATAATTCAGCCCTTGGGAACCATATATTCTCTGCCTCTAGGAACCAAAATATGAATTTCTTAAGGGTAGGGACCATGTACCCCGATCCAGTTCTAGCCAAATGTTAAAAATTAAACACATTCAGAAAGACTGTTAGACATAATACTTAAACATTTTCTGAAATGCATAAAAATGTTTATTTTTATTATTTCCCAGTAGTAATTACCACTCGTGGGCAAGAAGGAACTGGGCTCAGAGAGGCACACACACAAAGATATCTTCACTGATATGTTCTCTTAATTTGGATGTGAGGTTCAAGAGTATGTATTATATTTATTTATTTACGCATATTCATAACTCAGTTACATACTCGCTGAAAGTCCTCTATGGCATATGTATCACACTTATTCCATGATGCTATAGGAAACCCACTGTACTCCTCTACTGCTTGAATCTGAAAAGACAAAGCAAGCCCAGCAAAGCGGCCCTGAACCAACTGTGTGTGTAATTGGGCCCAAGAGCTGGGCAGACTGAGACCAGAATGGGCAGACTGGGACCAGAACAGTGGTTTTAATAATGGCACACAGGTAAATAAGAATCTTAACTGGACTTCTCAAAAGGCATCAGCCCCTGAGAAGCAAGCAGGGATAGATTCAACAGGGATTTGTGGTGACACTGCACTGACATCATCAAGGACCTGCCTGTTCCTGGTGAGTAAGTCCTGATGGGACAGCTCTCCCAGAGCCGGCCCTGTACGCAGACCCCAGGCAGAGGCAGCCAGCCCCAAGTTCTTCAGTGGGACCCGGTGAAGAAGAAAGCAGGTAAAGCAGAGGTGTCTGATACCGGCTTAATGTGGGCAATGGCACAGCTGCTTGGCTGTAGGAATGCTTGTTCACACCCCTGAATGCTAAGGGTCTCTGCACCACCCTGTGAGATTGGACAAACAGCAAATACATATACACATGAGGACCCCCAGTGCTGGGCTGATGCTTATACTTTATTTTAAGCACACAGAGAAAGACATTTACATTCATTCAACAACTAAGGAAACATTCATTAAGAAGCTACCATGGGGCCGGCCGTGTGGCGCGTTGGTTAAGAGCTGGCTTGGGACGCCAGAGGGTCCCGGTTTGGATCCCACACATGAGGGTCAGTGACACTGCCCTCTACAGTTAAGATGCTGAACAACAGCTCAA